ACAGGGACAGCTCGGGGCTCAGGCTGCCCGGGGATGTGCTGTCCCCGGGTCCCCATTCCAGTGGCCGTGCTCGGTCCTGGGGCTGTGCCGGTGGCGGGGCGGTGGCCACGAGCCCCGTGCTCCGGTGATGTCCCCAGACTGTCACCCTGCCCCAGGAGCCGGGCTGTGGGGATGTGACAGGACCGAGGGGGGCACCGGCTGGGCGAGAGGTGGCGGAGGGGGGCGTCCAGCAAAGTCCAGCTGGGCCTGGGGTGGGGCACAGCCAGCGAGCGCCCAGCAGGGCTGGGGATGATGGAGCAGGGGACACGTCCAGGTGACCCCAAAGGGGGCTGGGACGGGTGTGATGACAGAAGGCACCTCAAGCACACCCGGGGGGTTCCGGGCTGGGGCAGGGACCAGCTAACACAGTGCTGGCTCCACTTGCAGCTGTGTCAGTGACCGATGTGGACCTGGAGGCAGGGGGAAGCAGGAGGCTCCTGTCCCAGCAGGACACCCATGAGGTGGGTGCTGCCCCAGGGACCCCCATTCCCTCCCCATTCTGGGGTGGGTGGGCTGTGGCGACCCTGGGACCAACCTCACAACTCAGCCCTGGGGGTACCAGGCCATAGTGGGGGGATGCTGAGCGTCCCGGGGGTCCCCAGTGTGGCCAGGGACACCCTGACCCCTGCACCTCCGGCTGCAGGGATACGTGGAGCTGCACGAGCTGGTCCTGGACAATGCAAAGGACTTGTGCTGGATGGAGGCCGGCCACTGGCTCCAGCTGGAGGAGGACTTCCAGGAATCAGGGGACTGGAGCCAGCCCCATCTCTCCTTCCTGACCTACCACAGCCTCCTGGAGATCCGCCGGGCTTTGAGCAAAGGTGGGGACAGCTCTGGAGCGCAGCGGGAGGGTGGCGAGGGCCCCGCGCTGGCTGGCTGGTGACACTGCTGTCCCCACAGGTGCCATTCTCCTCGATGTGGAGGCCAACGCGCTGCCGGCCATCGTCCACATCGTCCTGGACCAGCTGATCTACGAGGGGCAGCTGAAGCCGCAGGACAGGGACGATGTCATGAGGACGCTGCTCCTGCGCCACAGGTACAGCCAGGGCCGGTGGTCCCGGGGGGATCCCAAGCTCTGGGACCCTCCCAGCGTGCCCAGCTCAGGCTCAGGATGGGAAAGCTTTGCCCCTCAGCCCCTCTGGAGGCAGCCACGGCGCTGCCTAGGGGAGGAATTGGTGCTGCTGGGGTGTCTGACACCGCCCCCGATGTTTGCAGCCACCCCACCGAGGATGAGTCGGTGTGGACGATGCCGCCGGCGCTGGTGCAGCGCTCGGGCACCGCCCGGGGGGACGTGGAGCGGCCGCTGCTGAGGGAGCAGCGGCCCGTGGAGATGAGCAGGATGGCA